CAGTTTCACTCTTGTTGCCCAAGCTGGAGTCAATGGCACCATCTCCGCTCACCGCAAACTCCGCCTCCCGGGTTCAAGCAATTCTCCTGCCTCAGCCTCCCAAGGAGCTGGGATTACAGGCACGCACCACCATGCCCAGATAATTTTGTATTTTTAGTAGAGGTGGGATTTCTCCATGTTGGTCAGGCTGGTCTTGAACTCCCTACCCCAGGTGATCGGCCCGGCTTGGCCTCCCAAAGTGCTGAGGTTACAGGAGTGAGCCACTGCGCCGGACCCCTCCATTTCTGTTCATAGAGTACAGGCAGCCCTCAATACCACAGGCTCCACGTCCACAAATTCAACCACACATAGAAGATATTTGGGGGGGGAAAAGCATAACAACCAAAAATACAAATAAGAGCAGTACGGTATAGCAACTATTTACACAGCATTTACACTGTATTAGGTATTATAACTCTAGAAATGATTTAAAGTATACGGGAGCATATGCATAGGTATACTCTGCCATTTTACGTAAGGAACCTGAGCGTCCTTGGATTTTGGTATTTACCTGGCACCAGTCCCTTCCAGGATACCCAGAGAAAACTATTCCACTGTCTGCAGTCCCACCCCCTTGTACCTGTGGAAATGCAGGTGCCCTGCTGCTCTGAGGACAAGCTCTGCCACTCAGCACTCTTGAGTCACACCCAATAGAAACCTGTCCTATGGGAAGAGCTGGGAATTGGAGGGTCCCTCCCAATGGCATTGCTGTGCCTGGCAGGGGGAAGGGCAAGAACAGGCAAAATGCTCCAACTTCCCTTCCCAGTGCAGTCCCTTCCTGGCTCTGTGCCAGCTGGCATTGCAGCTTCCTAACTAGTTTCTGGAATTCTCATAATGATGTTTTGGTTCCTTTAGCATTGTTAGCTGGGGACTCTAGGAGAACGAGAGCCCAGAGCTTCCTAGTCCACTGCTTGCTGACGTATTTTCACACCATGTCACTTGGCAATGTCCAGAGGGCCTACCAGGGCACAGTGCATTTTTCACCATAACACAAGCATAGAAGTTTCTGGGATTTTTTATCTTTAGGAAACACAACCAAACTGCCATTTTGGTTGTGTTTCCTAAAGATAAAAAATCCCAGAAACTTCTATGCTGACCATTAATAGAATGTGATGTCCAAACAGTCTAGAGCAGTAGTAGCTCAGCACACACCTTGGATGTGGACTCTGACACCGCTCTGTGACTTGCACCTCGTTATGTGGTCTCTGAGCCTCAGTCTCTGTGCCTTCAGGACCATAAAACCACCTCCTTAGGAGGCTGTGGGAGGATTAATGAGTTGGAGCACACAGTCTGACCAGCAGTTTCTGGCACATAAGTGCCTGATCAATGGAAGCCACAGGTGCACAATGATTGGAAAAGGCCATAGGCATCATTATTGAAGGTTTTTCTCATGCTGCCATATCTTGAATTACAGTCCTCTGGCAGGTAAGGAGGGTATTCGGGGGGGCACTGCTCACATGGCAGGCATGCCTGTCCCTGCCAATCATACCCACATCATGATGACTGCTTCGGGAGGGCCTGACACCTCAAAAGGCCAAGAGTGCATACAGGTAATGTATAAAGGGGCCACCATGTGACAAGCACCCAGACCATCCTGCCAGCCCTGCGCCTTGATTCTCTCTCAGTCCCAGGTAGAAGGGTGCTGCCACATAGGACAGGAACACTTATTCAGCTGAGCCAGTTTGGGAGGCCACAATTCAGATCTGAGAAGTCCCCAGATGGACATGGGTCTTGCTCTCCTGGTCAGTTGAATGGCCTCAAAACTGTTGGGCCAGATGGCTTATGCCTCTAATCTCAACACTTGGGGAGGCCAAGGTAAAAGAATCACTTGAAGCCAGTTCAAGACCAGCATGGGCAACATTGTGAGAACTCATCTCTACAAAAAAAAAAATTTAGCCAGGCATAACGGTGTGCACCTGTAGTCCCAGCTGCTCAGGAGGCTAAAATATGAGGAACTCTTGATTGAGCACAGGAGTTTGGAGCTGTAGGGAGCTACGATCATACCTCTGCACTCCAGCCTAGGCAACAGAGCAAGACCCTGTCTCTAAAAAAAAACAAAATCGTAATTTTTTTTTTTTTTAATTTTAAATAAACTGCTAACCTTTTGTTCTCAGATCCAGTCTTCATTCAGACCTGCAAAGACCCAGGCTCCAGCTGCCAGCTTCCTGTGGCCCCTCGGGCCACCTGCACAGGAAATTCCAAGGGTACGTTGGTCCCACTGCCAGTGCCATGGCCTACAGTGCTAGGCAGCCCCTCAGTCTCTGCCACTCAAAGTTCTCCTCCAGGAATCCTTCCTAGAAAGTCCCGTTCCAGCTTGGGGCAATGTCCCCATGACCCTCGTGGCACCGCTGGCTTGGCATGTCAGCTATGTTACCTTCCTACTTCTGATGGTCTTGAATACGTTGGGGCACTGGCCCACTGGCTGCCTTCCCACCATGTTCCCAGTACACAGCTCAGGACCCAGTACAACCCATACCTCCAGCTTGGGTGGAGCTCTCATGCCAGGCTGCCTGTCACTCACTGCCCTAGCCTGACCCTGCACCCCACTGGCAGCACAGTCAGCACAGCGGTTTGGCTCACAGCAGAGGGCAAAGGCCATCATCAGCTCCCTTTATAAGGGAACAGTCACACACTCGGCGTGCTGAGAGTGTCCTGTCTGGTCCTCTGTGCCTGGTGGGGTGGGGGTGCCAAGTGTGTCCAGAGAGCTCAGTGGGCAGCGAGGCAGCCATGGGGCTGGATGCACTGGTGCCCCTGGCTGTGACAGTGGCCATCTTCCTGCTCCTGGTGGACCTGATGCACCGTCGCCAACGCTGGGCTGCACGCTACCCGCCTGGCCCCATGCCACTGCCGGGGCTGGGCAACCTGCTGCATGTGGACTTCCAGAACACACCAAACTGCTGCAACCAGGTGAGGGAGGAGGTCCTGGAGGGCGGCAGAGGTCCTGAGCACCCCCCACAAACATGGGTAGTGGGTGAAGCCACAGGCTGCATCAGAAGCCAGGCTGCAAAGGGGAAGCAGGTTTGGGGGACTTCTAGAGGAGGGCATTTGTACACAGCCTGAAGGATTAGATTTTCCAAATGCCAAGGAAGAGCAGGGCAAGGGCCTGCAGGTGGGGCTGGACTTTGCAGTGGGTATTCAAGCTCACTGGGCAGCATAGACTCTGGAACACAAAGTCCCCTCTGCTGACACCAGAAGGAAAGGCCTTGGGAGTGGGAGAGGAGTCAGGGTCCTGAGTACTGTTTAAATTAGAAAATAAGGCCGGGCACGGTGGCTCAGGCCTGTAATCCCAGCACTTAGGGAGGCTGAGGTGGGTGGATCACCTCAGGTCAGGAGTTCAAGATGAGTCTGGCCGACATGGTGAAACCCCATCTCTACTAAACATAACAGAAAATTAGCTGGGCTCAGTGGTGTACCTGTAATCCCAGCTACTCGGGAGGCTGCAGCAAGAGAATCACTTGAACCTGGGAAGTGGAGGTTGTAGTGAGCAGAGATTCTGCCATTGCACTACGGCCTGGGTGACAAAGCCAGACAACATCTAAATAAATGAATAAGTAAGTAAGAAATCAATGGCAAGGCGCAATGGCTCACAGCTGTAATCACACCACTTTGGGAGGCCGAGGCAGGTGGATCACAAGGTCAGGAGTTCGAGACCACCCTGGCCAACAGGGTGAAGCCCTGTCTCTACTAAAAATACAAAAATCAGCCGGGCGCAGTGACAGGCACCTGTAATCCCAGCTACTCAGGAGGCTGAGACAGGGGAATTGCTCGAACCCAGGAAGCAGAGGTTGCGGTGAACGGAGATGGCGCCATGCACTCCAGCCTGGGTGACAGAGNCTTGTTGCCCAGACTGGAGTGCAATGGCCCGATCTTGGCTCACCGCAACCTCTGCCTCCTGGGTTCAAGTGATTCTTCTGCCTCTGCCTCCCAAGTAGGTGGGACTACAGGTGCGTGCCACCACGACCGGGTAATTTTTTGTGTATGTTACCACCAGATTTCTATTGAGAGACATGGAGGCCAGAAAGCAGTGGAGGACAGCGGCCCTCAGGAAGCCACTGGAGGATGTTGTCAGAGGCTGGGGCAAGGGCCTTCAGGATACCAACTGGGAATTCTGGGAACAGCCCTGTTGCAAGCAAGAGGTCGTGGCCAGGCTGGAGTCCAGGAATGTGGGCTGGGCTGGGAGCCAGGTGACAGCCTTGAGCTTTACTGGGAGCAGCCTCTGGACAGGAGAGGTCAGGCATGGCTGAGAAGCAGGCTACTTGGTGCTGAGGGGGTGTGTGTGTATGTGGTGTGAGAGAATGCATGTGCTCTGAGTGTGAGTCTGTGCATGTGAGCATTGTCTGTGTGTGGGTGGTTTTGTGGGTATGTGAATATGTCCCTGCACATGTGAACAAGGGGACAAGAGTCTGGGAGTGTAGAAGAGGTGTGTGCAGCATCAGGCGTGTGCATAGCGTCTATGCATGTCAAGAGTGCAGGGTGAAGTGAAGAGACCAGGCCCGTGCGCCTCTGATCATCATGAACTCCCAAGGCCCCAGGTGAGTGCCAGTGACAGACAAGGGTGGTGAAGGCCACTCTGGAACGGGCAGGTGGGGTGAGGAAAGGGCAAGATTATGTTCTGGAGGAGGGGTTGTGACCACAAAAGGGCACGTGAGCCTAGCAGGGAGGCGGATGGCAGGATCCACTGAGACCCTGGTTATCCCAGAAGCCTGTGAGGGCTTGGAGAGTTGGGAAAGGGAGTGACTTCTCCTCTACCACCCTACCCTGGGTAAACAGCTGGGACAAGGACCTTTGGTGCGGCCCCTACCTGCCCTGGCCTGACCCTGAACCCACTGGCAGCACAGTCAACACAGTAGATTGGCTCACAGCAGAGGGCAAAGGCCATCATCAGCTCCCTTTATAAGGGAACAGTCACACACTCGGTGTGCTGAGAGTGTCCTGTCTGGTCCTCTGTGCCTGGTGGGGTGGGGGTGCCAAGTGTGTCCAGAGAGCTCAGTGGGCAGCAAGGCAGCCATGGGGCTGGATGCACTGGTGCCCCTGGCCCTGACAGTGGCCATCTTCCTGCTCCTGGTGGACCTGATGCACCGTCGCCAACGCTGGGCTGCACGCTACCCGCCTGGCCCTATGCCACTGCCCGGGCTGGGCAACCTGCTGCATGTGGACTTCCAGAACACACCAAACAGCTTCAACCAGGTGAGGGAGGAGGTCCTGGAGGGCGGCAGAGGTCCTGAGCACCCCCTACCAGCAGCAAACACGGGTGGTGGGTGAAACTGCAGGCTGGACCAGAAGCCAGGCTGCGAAGGGGAAGTAGGTTTGGGGGACTTCCTGGGGGAGGGTATTTGTACACAGCCTGAAGGATTAGAGTTTCCAAATGCCAAGGAAGAGCAGGGCAAGGGCCTGCAGGTGGGGCTGGACTTTGCAGTGGTTGTACAAGCCCGCTGAGAAACATAGACTCGAGCACAAAGTCCCCTCTGCTGACACTGGAAGGAAAGGCCTTGGGAGTAGGAGAGGAGTCAGGGTCCTGAGTGCCGTTTAAATCAGGATTCAAGGATGAAGGGGGTGCAGTGACCCGGTACGAGCCTTTTGCACTCTGCATTCCCTGGCCTCACTGCTCACCGGCATGGACCATCATCTGTGAAATGGGATGCTAACTGGGGCCTATCTGTAATTTCGGTGACTCTTGCAAGGTCATACTCAGGTGATATCTAAACTGAGTTCCTCTGTTATAGAAGTTGTGACCCCCCCATCTCTGCCCTAGGATCAGGAGACTGGGTCTCCTTCTTCCACCTGCTCACTCCTGGTAGCCCCAAGCTTGGCCCAAGGTTCACTTGGGACTAGGACCTGCAGTCTGGGGAGACCCTGGCTTCACGAAGGCCCTGACCCTCCCTTTGCAGCTGCGGCGCCGCTTTGGGGACGTGTTCAGCCTGCAGCTGGCCTGGACACCGGTGGTCGTACTCAACGGGCTGGAGGCCGTGCGTGAGGCGCTGGTGACCCGCGGCGAGGACACCGCCGATCGGCCGCCTGTGCCCATCTACCAGGTCCTGGGCTACGGGCCGCGCTCCCAAGGCAAGCGGCGGTGGGGACGGAGTCTGTTTCCGCGGGACCCGGGTGGGCGGTGACTGGAGCCCGATCTGGGCCGAGAGGGCGCGCGTTCGTGGACGTGGGACACTGAGAAAGGCCAGCGAGTAGGCCGGGGACAGCGGGCCACGACACCACCTGCTCTGGGGAGGTGCGAGCGTGTGGGCGGGGACGGGGCTTGTGGTGAGTAGGCGGGGCCACGACCTAGACCCAACAGGAGCCAGGTGGGCGAGGCCCGCACCTTTCCCAGCTGGAGGCAGGTGTCCGGGGACCATGCCTGTGCTGCCGGCTCAGTGTGGCCTGGGCCGGGCCAGCGGGATCTTCCCTGAGTGGAAAGGCAGTCAGGATGGGCAGAGCCGAGGTGGGGACAAGACTCGAGCAAGGTGGGTGAGCAAAGAGTGGACCCTGTGCCCAGCTGGACGGGGCAAGGGACTGCGGGAGACCAAGGGGAGTGCAGGGTTGGAGTGGGCGGCGGAGAGTGAGGCCAAGGCCTTCATGGCCATGCCCACGCGTCCATCCGGTCCCCAGGGGTGTTCATGGCTCGTTACGGTCTCGTGTGGCGCGAGCAGAGGCGCTTCTGCGTGTCCACCTTGCGCAACCTGAGGCTGGGCAAAAACTTGCTGGAGCAGTGGGTGACCAAGGAAGCTGCCTGCCTCTGTGCCGCCTTCGATGACTATGACGGTGGGTGATGGGCAGAGGGGCCCAAGGCGGGAACTGGGAACCTGGGGGACGGGAAAGGCGACCCCTGACCCGCATCTCCCGACCCCAGGACGCCCCTTCCGCCCCAACGAACTCCTGGACAAAGCGGCGAGCAACGTAATCGCCTCCCTCACCTGCGGGCACCGCTTCGAGTATGACGACCCTCGCTTCCTCAGGCTGCTGGACCTAGCGCAGGAGGGATTGAAGGAGGGGTCGGGCTTCCTGCCCCAGGTGCAGAGCCAGGGACTGCGGGGACTCTGCAGGGCAAGCTTCTCAGAGGTGCCAGTGCTGCAGCCGGGCCTCTGAGGAGCAGGATTTGCATAGAGGGGTTTGGGATAGGATATTCAAGGAGAACCCACTGCAAGAGGAAGGGCCTGGAGGAGGAGGAGAAACCTCAGACACCGTCGTGGGAGAGGTGTGCCCAGGTCAGGGGGCACCAAGAGAGGCCGTGAACCCTGTGCCTCCTGTTTACATTGGAGAATTTGATTTTAGGTTTCTCCTCTGCCAGAGCAGAGCAAAGAGAGAGGGTGGAAGCTGGCACTTGGGGAGGGACTTGGGAGGTCAGTGGTGGGGACAGGCAGGCCCTGGGTCTTCCCTGGAGAGGGCTGGGGTCTGAGACTGGTCCAGGTGAAGGCAGAGTGTAGGAGGAATCCAGACCCTGTTCTGTGTCTGGTGCAGGTGCTGAATGCCATCCCTGTCCTCCTGCGCATCCCATGGCTGGCTGGCAAGGTGTTACGCTCCCAAAAGGCTTTCCTGGCCCACCTGGATGAGCTGCTGAACGAGCACAGGATGACCTGGGACCCAGCCCAGCCACCCCGAGACATGACTGATGCCTTCCTGGCAGAGATGGAGAAGGTGGGAGCGGCTGCCAGGGTGGGGAGCAGGGGCGGTGGGTTGAGGGTCCCAGGAGGAATGAGGAGTGGCCAGGCAAAAGCTGGGGCTGGTGCATCACCTGGTGAGCAGCACCTGGGCTGACAGGTGCAAAATAGGAGGTCATTTGGGGACTTTCCCTTTCTGTCCCCTGAGTACCCTCTCGGCCCTGCTCAGGCCAAGGAGAACCCCGAGAGCAGCTTCAATGACACGAACCTGCGTATGGTGGTGGCTGACCTGTTCTTGGCCGGGATGGTGACCACCTCAATCACGCTGGCCTGGGGCCTTCTGCTCATGATCCTTCACCCAGATGTGCAGCGTGAGCCCAGCTGGGACCCAGTGCAGGGAGCGAGGGAGGAAGGGTACAGGCGAGTACCCTGAGCTTAGCTGGGACACCAAGGGCTCCAAGCACAGGCTTGGCCAGGCTCCTGTAAGCCTGACCTCCTCTAATACAGGAGGCAGGAAGGAGGGCGTCAGGGCCAGTCCCCTGGGTGCTGACCCATTGTGGGGACACATGTCTGTCCAGGCCGTGTCCAACAGGAGATTGACGACGTGATAGGGCAGGCGCGGCGACCAGAGATGGGCGACCAGGTTCGCATGCCCTACACCACTGCTGTGATTCACGAGGTGCAGCGCTTTGGGGACATCATCCCCATGAATATGCCCCACATGACATCCCGAGACATTGAAGTGCAGGGCTTCCTCATCCCTAAGGTAGGCCTGGGGTCCTCCTCACCCAGCTCAGCACCAGCCCCTGGTGGGTGCCCCAGCATGGCCACTGCCAGGTGGGCCCAGTCTGGGAACCCTGGTCTGCCAGTCCTTAATGCCACCACACTAACTGTCCAGCCTGTGTGTGGGGTACAGAGCAGAGTCAGGGCCGGCCTGTCCATCCAGAGCCCAGTCTAGTGGCGAATACAGACCAGGACCTGCCAGAATGTTGGGGGACCCAACGCTCCTAGGGAGAGGGGGCAGCGTGGGCGCCCCTAAGAGGTGTGACTGGGGCCTATTATAGGGTTGGAGAGGCTGCCCAGGAGCTTCTCAGGCGCAGGACTAGTAGAGTCCAGCTGTGTGCCAGGCAGTGTGTGTCCCCCATGTGTTTAGTGGCAGGGGTCCCAGCATCCTAGAGCCCAGTCCTTACTCTCACCCTGCCTCTCCTACTCAGGGGACAGCGATCTTCGCCAGCCTGTCATCAGTGCTGAAGGATGAGGCCATCTGGGAAAAGCCCTTCCGCTTCCACCCTGAACACTTCCTGGATGCCCAGGGCCGCTTTGTGAAGCCAGAGGCCTTCCTGCCTTTCTCAGCAGGTGCCTGTAGGGTGCCTGGCTCCCTGCCCTTCTGTGGAGTCTTGCAGAGGTATCGCCTGGGACCCATGCTCACTGAGGCCCCTCCCCTACCCACAGGCCGCCGTGCATGCCTCGGGGAGCCCCTGGCCCGCATGGAGCTCTTCCTCTTCTTCACCCACCTGCTGCAGCACTTCAGCTTCTCCGTGCCCACCGGACAGCCCCGGCCCAGTAGCTCGCCTGCTGGTGGCTTTCTGGTGTATCCTTCTCCCTACCAGCTTTGTGCTGTGCCCCGCTAGAGTTGGGCATCAAGCCCCTGACTTGCTCCTCTTGTATAATAAATTAGTCTAGAGGCTCCCACTTGGTTTCTGAATCCAGTTTGGGCTCTTGCCAAGGCCCTGGTTGTGTTGGGTCATATGTCACCTGCCTGATGTCAGCGCTTACCCCCACCTCATTTTTTTTTTTTTTTTTTTTGATACACTGTCTCTGTCATCCAGGCTGGCGTGTGGTGGTGCCATCTCAGCTCACTGCAGCCTCCACCTCCTGGGTTCAAGCGATTCTCGTGCCTCAGCTTCCCGAGTAGCTGGGATTACAGGCATTCACCACCGTACCTGGTTAATGTTTGTCCTTTTAGTAGACATAGGTTTCACCATGTTGGCCAGGCTGGTTTCAAACTCCTGACCTTAGGCGATCCACCAGCCCCAGCCTCTCAAGATTCTGGGATTATAGGCATGAGCTACCACGCCCAGCCTCACTTCATTGATTCTTACCTGGACATCTGACTTTACTTGACATACAGGCATAGTGATTCTCAGCAGGTGACAGCTTACCTCCATGTCACCCCCAGAAACCCATCACTGGCTGCCTGACTTGGTGACAAGGTCCATGCATAAGTCTTGGCTGGGTTAGATATGAATAGGCATGTGCCAGGAATCAGCCCCAGTCCCTGGCTAGGGTGGGAGACTGTGTTCGGGAACCCCAGACCACCCTCAGGTCCAGTGATTTGCTAGAAGGTCTCACAAACCTAAAAAAGTTGTTATCCTCCCTTTTATGGTTTATTACAGAGAAGGGTACAGATTGAAGTCAGTGAAGATGAAAGGCACAGGGGGCAGAATCCAGAATGACCAGGCAGAGGCTGCAGCTCTCATTCCTGGTGGAATCCTACAGGCAGCGCTTAATTCTCCCCCAACAATAAGTGACACTGCAGAGAGCGCTGCCAGCCATGGAAGCTCACGTGAGCCTTGGTGTCCAGAGTTCTTGTTGGGAGTTGGTCATCCTAGGCTTGAGCCCCCCAACATGGCTGACCTCAGTTACTCAGTCTCAAGCCCCTCCAGTCAGGTGGATACAGGCCTGAGGGTCCAACCCTCAGTCACACTGTTGGCATGAACTGTGTTGTATGGTCAAAGGCCCCAGCTATGTACAAAGACACTGTTTCAGACGGGACATTCCAAGGCCTTAGCATATCTCCCAGCAGCCTGTCAAGGGTCAGTGATTTGGTTTGGATTGTGTAAGAAATGACTTCCCCATTTTTTACTACACAGGCCACCCTCTTGGCTCTGACACCATAATGATCACATTAGTGTGAGCGTGTGTGTACGTGTGTGTATGTTTTTCTTTTTGTTTTGAGACAGGGTCTCCCTTTGTTGCCCAGGCTGGAGTGCAATGGTGCAATCGTGGCTCACTGCAACCTTCGCCTCCCGGGTTCAAGTGATTCTTCTGGCTCAGCCTCCCAAGTAAGTGGGACTACAGGCGCATGCCACCACACCTGGCTAATTTTTGTATTTTTAGTAGAGACGGAGTTTCACCATGCTGGCCAGGCTGGTCTCAAACTCTTGACCTCGTGATCCACCTGCATCAGCCTTCCAAAGTGATGGGATTACAGGTGTGAGCCACCATGCATCCGGCCTTTTCTTCTTCTTTCTCCTTTCTCCTCCTCCTCCTCCCTCCTCTTCCTCCTCCTCCCCCTCCCTCCTCTTCCTCCTCC